AACACAAAGAAAAGAGTTAAGGATGAGTCAAAGGTTCTTGCCTTGGGTGCAGCTGGGTAAATGGTGGTGCCATTTATTGAGAAGAGGAAAACTATGTTCTCTGTTTTTTTTTGCTTTGTTTTTCTTCCTTTTTTTTAAAGAAAGTATAGTTATTAATAATTTATAATGTTGCATTAATTTCTGCCGTACAGCAAAGTGATTCAGTTATACATATATATATAATATATAATATATATATACATTCTTTTTTATGCACATTCTTTTTATATCTTCTTTTCCATTATGGTTTATCATAGAATATTGAATATAGTTCTCTGTGCTATACAGTAGCACCTTTGTTGTTTATCTATTCTATATATAAAAGCTTACATCTATTAATCCTAACCTCCCACTCCATGTCTCCCCCAACCTCCTCCCCCTTGGCAACAAGTCTGTTCTCTATGTCCATGATTCTGAAAAACTATATTCTTTAGTATAAAAACAGAACTGTCACCGCACAGAAAAACCAAAAACCTGAAATACCATGTGCAGTCAGACTGAAATGGGTAAGATTACTCTATCCCAAACCAGGCTCATTTCTACACTGTTAACTACCAGTTGGACTTCCTGCAATTACTGAAATGGCACAAAAGTCCTTAATTTTGATGAGGTGCCATTTGTCTATATTTTCTTTTATTGCCTATAATTTGGGTGTCATATCCTTGAAATCATTGCCAAATTCAGTGTCATTCAGATTTTCCCCATTGTCTTCTAAGATTTTTGTAGTTTTAGCTTTTAAGTGTAAGTTTTTTATCCATTTCGACTTCATGTTTATTGTGTAAGGTAAAGGTACAACTTCATTCTTTTGCATATAAATATCCAATTTTCCCCAACACTTCTTGTTGAAAAGACTATCATTTTCCTATTGAATAGTCTTGGTACCTTCTAGAAAATTAATTGGTCATATAAGTAAGAGTTAATTTTCAGGCTGTCTATTCTATTATATTGGCCTATATGTCTATCCTTATGCCAATATCATGGACTTCTCTGGTGGCACTAGCGGTAAAGAACCTGCCTGCCAATGCATGAGATGTAAGAGATGCTGGTTGGGAAGATCCCCTGGAAGAGGGCATGGCAATCCACTCCAACATTCTTGCATGGAGAATCCCATGGACAGAGGAGTCTGGTGGGCTACAGTCCAAAAGTTCACAAAGAGTTGAACACAACTGAAGCAACTTAGCAAAGCACATGCCAGTATCATCATGTTTTAATTGTTGGAGATTTATAGTAAGTTTTAAAACTGGGAAAAGTAAGTCCTCTAATTTTATTAATCTTTTCTCAAGATTGTTTTGTCTATTCAGGGCCCCTTGTAATTCTATAAGTATTTGAGGATCAAATTACTTGTCCATTTCTGTGATAAAGGCTGTTGGAATTTTGATAGGGATTGTGTTAAATCTATAGATTGCTTTCGAAGTATTAACATCTGAACATTGTTAAGTCTTCCTATCCATGAACACAGAATGTTTTCCATTTATTTAGATAGTCTTTAATTTCTTTCAGCAACATTTTGTAGTTTTCAGTGTACAAGTTTTTCACCTTCTAGGTTAAATGTATTCTTAAGTATTTAATTCTTTTAGATGCTTTGTAAATGGAATTGCCATCTTAATTTCCTTTTCAGAACATTCATTTCTGATGTATTGAAACACAACTGATAATATCTCATCTTTATAAGAAAAGAAAAAGGAACTTAGACTAAGTTGTTCAAAGGCCCTTGGCTAATCAGGTTTCTTAACTCCAAATCGATTGTGCTCCTTCTCTGAGAAGGTAGTTATTCTAGCCCCTTTCCCATTTTGTCCCTTCCATCTGAATTGATGCTCTTACTTGTTAAATAAGAAACACAATAAAGAAAGGGCTTCCCTGGTGGCTCAGTTGGTAGAGTCTGCCTGTAATGCAGGAGACCTGGGTTCAATTCCTGGGTCAGGAAGATCCCCTGGAGAAGGGAATGGCAACCCACTCCAATATTCTCGCCTGGATAATCCATGGACAGAGGAGTCTGGTGGGCTACAACACATGGGGTCACAAAGAGCTGGACACAACTGAGTGATTAACACTTTCACAGAATAAAGAAAGACGTGGAGCCCTGTAAGAATTATCCTCCAGATTCGAGCCAGCGTGACAACTGAACCATAAGGAAGCAACCAAAGCCTCAAGGAAACCCATGGATAGCCCAAACATACTTTCATGTTCATTCTTTTCAAGTCGAGGGCCCAGAGGCAAATAAAGAGTCAACGTTGAATGCATGACCTCAAAATGCCAAAATATTTGGTGAGAATGACTCAGAAATCAAGAAGCTACTTGTAGCAAATCGAGTACTGTAATACATTGTCACACAGAAGAGCTTCTCTTGGACCAGATAGAAGGACTATGTTATGACATGTAGACAGGGTTAAGACTCTGGAGGAACTCTGGGGTGTGACTCAGGTTCAGGAGAGGAGGAGCAGTTCGCACTCCACCACCATGAGATTGGAGACCAGGAGTGTGTCAAATCACTCAGAAGTCTCTAGAAGACACTGTTGATCCTTCCCTGCCTGAAGGAGGGGATGGATGAGCTTTCTCCAGGACCTTGAATACCATTCAAGAACCACCAAGAACAGGACTTTTCTGTGGGTCCAGTGGTTAAAAATCCTTGCAGTGCAGGGACTGAGGAACTAACATCCCACATCCCACCGTGCAGTTAAGCCCGCGGGCCATAACTACAGAGCCCATGTGCTCTGGAGCCTGCTCTGGAGCCCCAACATGATGCAACTGAGACCTGTAGCCAAATAAATTTTTTTTTTTTTTTTTTTTTAAAAACGAACCACCAGGAAATCTTCTCTTCCCCAGTCCTCATTGAACATTTTCCATCCTGTCCTGAAACTGCTGTCTGACAGGACCTAGAATTTTGACTTCCTGGAGTGCGAGTCTCAAGGAGTTGAGAAATGAGCACATCTTCTCCCTCCTCCTAAAGGGAAGAACATTCTGAATGGAAGACAACACTGTAGGATCATCTCAATTCATCCTCTTCAATCTCTTTCATAAAGGATTTATCTTACATTGACGTGATTCTTCCTCAGAAGATGATGGGATTCTTCTACCTTCCCAGAAATTCCAGACAAGGGACCATATAGCTTTCATTCTTGAAGAATTGCTAACATTTTTAGGCAGAGAGGTCAGGGGCTGCGTGAGCACTTGCATAGGTTTCTCTCTAATGCGTGGAATACTGAGAAAATCCCACAGGGCTTCAACGCTGTCACAGTAACAACAGGATAGAAAATAAGGGGAGAAAGTTCCCAAAGCAAAGCAACGGTATGGTGTTACACAACCTGCTCCATGGCTCAAACTTCAGAATAACAGCCATTTCATTTATATCACAGAAAAAAATAACTGCGGTAGGTCATAAAGTTTTAAATTATTTTTCCAGTAGGAATATTACGCCCTGATGACATAGACTATTTCCACTTCTTCCATAAATCAGCAGCACTTCCCTCAAAATGGTCCGTTGTCTCCAGACTCTCACCCTTGATACCATCCTCACATTGACAGATTAATGTTCTTACATGTATCACTCCTCTGATCAAAATTTTTCACTGCTTCCTATCACCAACAGAATGAAACCTGAATTCCTCTGTATGCCGTTTGTAGTTTCTTAGCAATCAGCTTCCCTGCTTACCCACTACTACGTCCTGATGGCCAGGCCAGTCATGCTCTGAGCTCTCGTCATAGTTTCCTCCCCTTGTAATGCCAGCTGGGCTCCTCTCTACTTTTCTAACTCTTCCTACTTACACTTCAGGGCTAGATTCAAATCCCTACTTCTCCACTTCTATCCACGCTGACCTTCCCCTGCTATAAATTCTTAGGGACCACTCACCATATCCCTCATTTTGGCACCTTATTTATCCAGTGATTAGTATGCATATCTAACTGCACTGGATACTCTGTGGGTAGAGAGAATATAATAAGGTCCTTGGCTTAGAGGAGGAGACTTTGCTGCTTTGTCATAATGTATTACTGTTTCTTGAGGGCAAGCCTTTTCTCCATGGTAAAAATCCAAGACCTCAAGTTCTTCAAGTATGTCATCCCTATCATGGTGCCACATACATCCTAGGATTTCAGAAAAAGACTTGTTAAATTGAATTAAATCCTCTCGGGCTTATGCTCTACTTGAGGATGATAGCTGAAGTGCAATAGCTAATCTGCTCTAAAATGGCCAAGCCTGACAGGACTAGTCCACCTGGGCTAGGCTGAAGGGGTTGGGGTTGTGGTGAGAAGGGAAAAGCCACCCTAGTGCGCTGCCCCATGAGCAGCAGGAAGAATTGCTCACCGCAAGTCCACTCTCCTGGCTGGACTATTGGTTATCTAGAGGTGGAAGCCACTGTAGGGTGAAATCAAATCCCGTGACTGACAAGCTAAAGAGTGAGAAAATGTAAAGAATGGCAGGGTAGGGAAGGAGAGCAGCTTAAACCCCCTGGGCTAGCCTACGCGTAGCCTATGAGCAGCAAAGGGCCATCAGAGAGGGACTGGCCTCCTTTGGCCATAACCAAAGACACGCCAGGGCCAGCCACTGGCAACCACAGTCTAGAGTGTCACACATTAGCAATAAAGTAGCAATAAAGGCTTGATGCCTACACTTCTGGTTTCCAGACACATGCTCTCTGAATGCTCTCTCAGAGCAGGTGCGGCTGCCTGGAGTAACTTTGAGGTCATCTCTCACACAGGTCCCTAGCTGGAAGGACTTGGACAGCAGAGACTCCAAATGGTGGTCTTCTCCATGGAGCTCTGGAACAAGCTGAAAGATCTAACCAAAAGCAGAAAACACTGGCAGACTGGGGAGCAGGGCGGGATCTTCTAGATGCAGTAGAAGCTTCAGCTGACTTCAGGCATCCCTTGTCTCTCCCACATAAACCAGAAGAGTCCACTCTCTGCAGACAGCCAAGTTGAACGATCATCAGGCCAGTCAAGATGCCCGCTGAGTCTTGTGGCAACTACTGGCCACGATTTCCGATTTCCACCCATCTTGTGCCCCGAGGCAGCGGCGAGGTCACCGGAGCCCCCTGGCCTGGGCCTCTCCAGGCGCCCGGGACATTGAAGCTCCAGCTCCTCCTTTCTCGCATCCCTCCCCTCCTCTTCCCTCCCTCGGCCAGTCCCTCCCTCAACCGGGGGGTGGGGGACGGGCGGGCTTGGCTCGGCGAGGCCCGTGCATTCCAGAGAGCCAAGCGAGCTAGAGCAACAAAGGAGCCGGGTAGTTGGCGGGGAGAAGTCGGGGGGCTGAGGCGCGGTAACGCGAAGGGGGCGTCTGGAGGCGGGCTGGCGCGGGGGCGGAGCCGGGGACCCAGTCCCGCACCCCCGGCCCGCGCCTGGCCTCCATCGTGGGGCCAGGAGGTGGTTTTAATGGTGGGAGAAGGAATGGGGCTGGAGATTGGGGGCCCAGGGGGCTCCCGGGGGTGAAGATAACTTGGATTGCCAGGAAGGGGTAGAGAGTTGTGCATCCCGGCCCGGGCCTCCGCCGCCCAACATGGGCCCCGGGTTCCAAAGTTTGCGAAGTTGGGTGCCGAGGGCCCGAGGCGCGCGGGGCGTCCGGGGGGACCCGGCACCGGACTCTTGGGGCGCACAGGTCGCCTGAGCCGCGTCTGTGGTCCCCAGGGTGGCGCGTGTGGCCGGGGGGGTGGGCTCCGGAGAGCGGGCGGGGGCGCCGGAGCTTCTGCTGAGTTGGCGGGTTTGGCCATGGCCGCTGCCCGCCTCGCACGGGGGCCGGAGCTCCTGCTTCTGGGGCTGCTGCTGCTGCTAGGGGGCCCGGGCCGGGGGGCGGCCTTGAGCGGGAACGCGACCCGGCCGGGGCCCTGGAGCGCGGGCGGGAGCGCGAGGAGGAGCGCGGCCGTGACTGGCCCTCCGCCGCTGCTGAGCCACTGCGGCCGGGCCGCCCCCTGCGAGCCGCTGCGCTACAACGTGTGCCTGGGCTCGGCGCTGCCCTACGGGGCCACCTCCACGCTGCTGGCCGGGGACTCCGACTCCCAGGAGGAGGCGCACGGCAAGCTCGTGCTCTGGTCGGGTAAGCGCGCGGGAGCCGGAGCCCGGGTCGGGGGCCGTGGCGGTGGGTTGCGGGGACTCTCCGAAAGAATAGGCTCGGGCCTGAGCTTGTGAGAGGGTAGGAGCAGCACCCGGGAGAGTTGGAGGAACAGAGTCTAAAACTTGGGAGGCAGGCTTGAGACCCTCGGGTGATGAAGAGGGAGAACGAGGAAGTTGAGGGAGTGGGTCACAAAGGGCCTGAGCAGGGTAGGAGGAAGCAAACGATGAGGGGGAATGAGGGCCCCCGGGCGTGAGAGGGTGTGGGCTCTGAGCCACAGAACAGGACTTCTGTTTTTGTTTTTTTTTTTTTTTTAAGAGGAGATGCTCCACGTAGGTACCACTCTGGAAGCGGGGTCCTCGGGAATGCAAGGTGTTTAGACTTTGGAGCAGAGACCAGGAAATCAAACTGGAGAGGGAAAAGGGAAAGATGCGGTTAGAAGATTTAGGCATTGAGGGAAGATGGGGAGAAAGAATTGAGTGAAATTTGTGAAAGGTAAGAAACCCCTGGTAATGAGTAATTAAATGGTAATCAGAAAGTTCCAGAAATCTTGTTTTGGGAGCCAGAAGTCCAGAGGATTGTGATCTTGTCCTGCTTTTGACAGGAGATTTCAGTTTCCTCATCTGAAAAATGGGGACTCTGTTCCCTGTCCGAAGTTGTGAAGGAATGAGACTCTTATAACCATCATTTGTGTGTTCTTGGGAAGTTTGGGTTCTCAGACTGGTCTGTGTTGAGGAAGGACACTTAAGTCTGGGGTGTCTGAGCCCTTGGATACTTACACGGTGGCCTGAAGTCCCAGAACCCTCACCTCATGCTGGGATTATGACCTGATCTGAAAAACTACAGACTAAACCCAAGCAGGTCCCTCTTTAGCAGTGTGGAGTGGATTAGCTCTCCGCTTGTCACTCTTTTGGGCAGGGGACCTAAAGATGAGGGAAGGGAACTTGCCTTGCCACCTCTTGCTTGTAGCTAGTGGGGTTCCAAAATTGTCCTTGAAGAAACAGAAACTAAAATCGAAAGCCAGGAGCAGACATGGGAACCTCCTCCTTTTGATAGGTCTTGGATGTCCCACATGTCCGTTCTGCCCCAGCATCTTGATAGAGAAGTGTTTGTAGGCTGCCTGTCATTGTCACATTGACCGCTGGAGTTCTGAGTCTTGGCCGGATGTCGAACAAAGCCTTGTCACTCCTGGCTTGGTACAGATGTCAAAGGAAGAACTTGGAGGATGGTACCCATGGTGAACCCACATCCTCTGTGGTTATTGGGTTCTAAAGTCAACATGTAGGCAGAAACCATGTGTAATCAACAGTAGCTTTGAAAAATTCACAAACAGCCACAATGTTAGGTCTCTGTGACTTTGTGTTCATATCCTCTTTTATGGTAATATGTTTGTATGCAAGTGCAACATATAGTAATGCACAGTATATAAGAAGGGGCATACATAGAAAATATAATTTTAGTTTTTAAAATTACATAAATACAGAAGTGATAAAATTTAAAAAAACACACAAAAGAAAGGTATCAACAAGGTTTCCTTGAGTTTACTAAGTCGCTTCAGTCGTGTCCGACTATTTGCAACCCCATGGACTATAGCCTGCCAGTCTCCTCTGTCCATGGGAATCTCCAGGCAAGAGTACTGGAGTGGGTTGCCATTTCCTTCTCTATCTTTGAGTTTAGGAGCCAGTTGTATGGAAATTCTAAATGTCTACGAACTAGAATCTCACGCAGTTCTGAACTATTCACACTATGAAAGGATATCTTCCTCCATCTCTCTCTCTTGTTATTTATTTTACAGGGACTCATGGTTGAATTCCCCTAACTTAAATGCATGTGTGATGCTGCCCTTCTGTAGTTGTCATCAAATCAAGGAGGAAGGGTATAAATCTCTCTCCAGCCCAAGCTTCTGAAAGCAGTTGATAGGCAGAAGTGGTTTTGGCAGAAAAGTTTAGGAGTTAGAACCATCTGCTGGCTGCATAGGTTTGAACCTCACTAGCTGTGGCTCTGGTGGGGCACAGTCCTGCAGGGGTTCCAGCACTGAGCCCTGGTTCGTAGTTTACTCTGAGCTCTTCTCTGCCATCACCCTTCATCCCTCAGCTCAGTCCCATTCCCATATGCTTTCTGGATGTTCTTTTTCTATGTCTAGTCTTTCTGCTAGATGTTTTATGTGAAGTAGAGCCAGAAGTAGGTATAGGTGTGAGCTGGGTCAGTAAGTGGGTAGAGTGAACCAGAGCCAAAAGTGAGAATCACAGACAAGCCTTCAGCTAAGAGTTCTGGCTAGTGAATTGTCCTGTCCTGAGCTAGTAGACTTGATTTGGCTTAAATCATCTGGCTCCTGGAGGTGTTTTTGTAGGTGGAAATGATTTAGAGTGTCTGTAAATTTGAAAGTAGAGACTTGTTCTTTCCTTTTTTTTTTTTTTTTTAATCTGAGTTCTGAGTACTTAGCTGGGCACTCATTCGTTTGGTTAGGTGTTTGGGTGCTGGCTACAAGTCATCCTGGATCAGCTTCTGGGGCAGATAAAGACGGAGAATACAGACAGGATCCCTGCCATCAAGGGAAGACAGACAATTAAATCAGGCTTTAGCAACACCTCTATGAGGTATTGTGACCTGGTAGGATGCTGAAGGAACACAGAGGACTTCGGGAAATAAGGAAAGACCCCCAGAGGAACTGACATTTAACCCACAATCTGAGAAATAAGTAGGAGTTTCTGGGGCCAAGGAGGATTTGGGTGGGAAGGGATAGGAAGAGGATATAGATGCGCAAAGGTATAGAGGTGAGAGGGCTTGATACTTTTAAGGAAGTATAAGAATTTCAGTCGAATTGAATCAAAGCATGTGAGGGATAGGATTCTAAGAAATAAGACCTAGTGAATTAGAAAATAAAGGGATTCATATCCCATATTGGAAAGTTTGGATGTTTGCCGGAAAATAAGAAGGGGGGCACTAAAGACTTTTAATAAAGAGAGATGGAATCATATTTGCATTTCAGACCAATCTTCTTGAGTACTGTGTGAAGGAGCCATGGGAAGAAGGGAAGCCTGAAGCTGATTTGCTTGTTGAAGGGATGGTTGAAATAGAGATGATGGTGGTCAGTACTGGGTTGACAGCCTCGAAGAAGTGGACAGATCCTCGGATTCCAGAAGTAGAACCAATGAGACTTGCTGATGAGTGAGCAGGAGGACCCAAGTTTCAGGCTTGGATGGAAGGTGGTATCATTCCCTCTCACTAAGCTGGAGACTGCTAGAGGAAGAGGAGGTTTGGAAGAAAGTATGAGTTCGTTTTGGTCATGTGAATTAGAGGGGCTCATTGGACTTCTGTACAGAAAGTGAAAGTCGCTCAGTCGTGTCTGACTCTTTGCGACCCCATGGACTATACAGTCCATGGAATTCTCCAGGCCAGAATACTGGAGTGGGCAGCTGTTCTCTTCTTCAAGGGATCTTCCAAACCCAGGGTTCGAACCCAGGTCCCCCGCATTGCAGACAGATTCTTTACCAGTTGAGTCACCAGGGAAGCCATCTTTGTGGAGAGTCCCAGCAAACCTAGAATTGTTGTTGTCGCTCATTTGTGACTGACTCTTTGCAACCCCATGAACTGCAGCATGCCAGGCTTCCCTGTCCTTCACCATCTCCCGGAGTTTGTTCAGAATCATGTCCATTGAGTTGGTGGTGCTATCCAATCATCTCATCCTCTGTCACCCCCTTCCCCTCCTGCCCTCAATCTTTCCCAGCATCAGGATCTTTTCTAATGAGTCGACTCTTCGCATCAAATAGCCAAAGTATTGGAGCTTCAGCTTCAGCATCAGTCCTTCCAATAAATATTCAAGACTGATCTCCTTTAGAATTGACTGGTTTGATCTCCTTGCAGTCCAAGGGACTCTCAAGAGTCTTCTCCAACAGCACAGGTCAAAAGCATCAATTCTTTGGTGCTCAGCCAAACCTAGAATAGGAATTGGTAGCCACTGTGAGCTCCCTCAGCCTAGACTGCTGAGCCTTTGGAAGTGAGGAATATCTCAGGTTGGGCCAATTTGTAGGTTTATATAGAACTCAGGTCTGTCTCTCGTTTATCTTTCAACTCTCTGGACTTGGGCTTCTTCAGGCACTCAGCATCTTACCCCAGGATAGTTTGAAATGTCTCCTCGCAGGCATTCCAAGCTGACCAGACAAACATACTTATCCAGGCCATGGCCTACCTTTGGCCAGACCTGGTTGGTTTGGTAAATGGGGCAAGAAAGCAGAGAGACCTGTGGCTGGCAGGGGAAATGGGTCCCTGAGAACCAGCACGTAGGCTCTTTGACCACTGCTATGCTCTGTGTGTGCATGGGGGTGTGCAGCCCTGTCCCCCAGCTGGGGGCAGCTGGTAGGAAGGAGCTGGAGAAGCTGGGAGGAATTTCTCGTTTGCTACTCAGACATCTAGCTGAGAGATTTAGAGGAGGTCTGTTATTTGCAAAGGCAGACCAGAAAGAATTTCCTTAGAGCTGTTCTCAAACCTGGCTGATGATCAGAATCATTTTTAAAATATATATTTTTGGAAAGTATTAAAATACAGAGAAACACCCACGGGCTCAAGTTTTCATTTTTGCTTCAGATTTTTACCTTTTGAATTGTGAAATGTAGCCTGTATACAGAAGGTGCATACGACACAGTGGTACTAAATAATAAATAAATATAAAGTGACACCTGAGTCAAGTGATGGTGGGCCACCCAGGAGCTCCCTCTGTCTTTTCCAATCACATCTCCTTCCCTCCTCTTCTAGAAGTAACCGCTACCCGGATGTTTTTGATGATCATTCCCTCTTTCCTCCACAGTTTTACCATCTAGTTTTGGGATCCTTGAATGGTGGATTTCAGTTTTGTGTGTTTTTTACCTCTAAACAGATGGAACTGAGCTGTGTGTATTCTTTTATGTCTTATTTCTTTTGCTCTACATTATTTTGTAAAATTCATCCAAGTTGTTGCAGCTTATTTTTCATTGCTGAATAGTACTCCG